ATAGTCTCGACGTGCTCTAAGTATTTTCGCTGGGATTTCTTTTAAGAGAATAATGTCTTGGTTTAAGATCTTAAATCTTTGTTGGTAAAAGAGCTGCATTATTTCATTTCGTCTCGATTTTCTTGTAAAATAGACCACTATATCTCTTGGCAAATTTTTTTGGCGAGCAATCCAAGAGTTCACCCTAAAAACACGCTCCAATTCCAAATAAATTTCCTGTCCACAAGACAAAGCATCCGTAAGTGCGTCTGAAATTACTTGTCTTAAATTCTCCTTTGGATCCTCAGCCAACCCACGGATCCGGATTGCAAACTCCATATCACGAAATTGGGCAATCAGCACATCAGCCTTAACATTTTCCAGACTCTCCTCTACAAGTTCCAGTCTATGGTCACTTGCTTCTGCTCTTTGTTCGTTTTCCTCCATCCTTTCTGCCACCACGTCTACATATTCAGCCAAACCTTGAAAAGCGGTTGCCACATTCAAACAAAAATCCTCATGTTTCTGTGATAAGTCTTGTTGTTGTTGTGATAAGTCCTGTTGTTGTTGTATCACTTGGTCGAATCTATTTTGCATTTTAACATCCATCGCTTGAAACATCTCAGTCATTTGTTTAATGGTTACAGACATCAAGTCCTGCAACTCTCTACCAGAGGGCGGTGGAGGTGAAGAAGATGGCGGGGGTGGCGGGTGGGAAATTTTAGAAGTTGATTGAAGTGTCTGGGACATTGGAGATGTAGTCGGTTTTAGAGTTGACGGCACAGTTTTTCTCAAAGCCATGTTAGCAGTAAATTTCCAATTATAGAAGTCTTATAAGCAGTTCAGCCAAGACAAATAATACGCAAGTTAAAAGTAACAAAAGTTCCAGACCGGAAATCACTTTCACTTCTTGCTGAAAAGTATCAATCCATCGCCATTTTAAGTTCACTTTCCCTCAATCCACCTCAAGTATAGGGAAGAACTTATTATCCAAGTTAGAGTAAAGTCCAAAATAAAGAACAAACTTCCAGGGTCGGTTCGTCTGCTTACAAAAAAANCTCACAGTTCACTTTAAGTTGCAGCAGTGGCGGCGGCTTCTAGCTTCGCCGAAGCGAAGGCGTCCTGGATCGCGGAGAAACCTCGGGGCTCCGGAGGAGTTCTCACCTACATCGTCCACATGGGACGACTCGGGAACTCAACTCCTACCCCGGGCAGCTCACCTATCCCCTTATGCCCAGGGGAAGGGTATCAAGTCGTTTGACAGCTGATGCTGGCTGTCAAAACGGCTTTTACGCTGAAACAGGCGGGAGGCAGCAAACAGCTGCGTCCGACGAGGTCGCCTGCCACCGGAAGTCCTCTTCTCTTCTCTTCTCTTCTCTTCTCTTCTCTTCTAATCTCCGCATCTTTTTTGTATTGTGATGACCAGAATTGGATGCAGTATTCCAAGTGTGGCCTTACTATTACAGTATAAAACAATATTATCACTTCTCGTGATCTTGATGTTGTCCCAATGTTGATGCAGCCTAGACTTGGCTGCATTGGCTTTTTTGGCAGCTGCAGCACACTGCTGGCTCATATTTAATTGGTGGCCCTCTAGGACACCTAGATCCCTCTCACAGTTACTGCTGTTGAGCCAGGTACAGCCTACTCTGTACTTGTGCATTTGGTTTTTCCTGCCTAAGTACAGGGCCTTATTTTTCCTTCCACTGAACTGCATCTTGTTGGCTAGGGCCCAGTGTCAAGTCTATAAGATCCTGCTGAATCTTGAATCCAAAGTCTTCCAAAGTGTTAGCAATTCCCCCCAGCTTGGTGTCATCTGCAGATCTGATGAGCTCCCATTCTATCCCCTCATCCAGATCATTTATGAAGATGCTGGAGACTACTGCCCCCCCAAAAAAAACTTTAGATACCCCACTGCATGCTTCTCTCCATGTAGAAATAGTTTCATTTAGGAATACCCACTTAGTGCAGTTGGTCACCTAACTGCAAATTCATCTGGTGGTGGTACTTTCTATCCAATATTATTCTATCTTACGAAGAAGTAGGTTATGGTCTATTTTTCAAATGCCTTACTGAAGTCTAAGTATATTATATCCACAGTGTTTCACTGATCCGTTAATTTAGTCACTTTATCAAAGAAGACAATAAGGTTTGTATGGAGTGATCTATTTTTAACAAACCCATGTTGGCTTCTGATAATCACCTTGTTCATTTCTTGATGTTCACAAATCCACTGCTTGATTATCTTTTCCAGGATTTTCCTGGGTATTGATGTCAAGCTGATTGGTGTGTAGTTTCCCAGATCCACTTTTTCCCTTTTTTGTAGATTGGAATCACATCAGTTCTTTTCCAGTCCTCTGGCAGTTCCCTCATGCTCCAGGAGCAGTGAAAGATTTCATTCAGTGGTTCCAAGATCATATATGCCAGTGGTGGCAAACCTATGGCATGGGTGCCAGAGGCGGCACTCGGAGCCCTCTCTGTGGGCACACGTGCCATTGTCCCAGCCTTGCCTCCCCCCACAACCCCCTCCTCTCCAGCAACCTCCCTGAAGGAGACTTGCCTCTGAACGTGGCCCACGCGGAGCAGTGCAGCCAAGGACATGGCAGCCAGGCAGCGTAGACAAGACGCTGCCTCATACCCCATCATGCAGTTAATGCTGCAGGGCGCAGGCAGAGGGTGTGGCCGCCATAGTGCTGCTGGGCTGCCTGGGCGATCTGCGGGCCCTGGGCAGGTGGAACAGGGGATGGGGGATGGGGGGGCAGAGCGGGGGCGGGCAGGGGCAGTTTTTGGGCACTCGATCTCTAAAAGATTCGCCATCACTGACATATGCCACTTCCTTCAGAATCCTTAAATCATCTGGTCCTGACGATTTGAACTCGTCTAGAGTAGATAGGTGCTTTCTTACCAATTTCTTGCCTATTTTGAACTGCATTCCTGTTCTGTCTCCATGGTGCTGCTTTTGGTAGATTGGATTATTTTTTTGCTTTTGCATGAAGACAGAGGCAAAGGAGGAATTAAGCAGTTCCACTTTCTCCCTCTTGCATGCTTGCCATCTTCTCCCATTATTAGACCAATTATTTCCTTGACCTTTTTCTTGTTCAGTACACACTGAAACTTTTGTTGTTATTTTTTGCATTTGTGGCTTAATTTATTTTAAGTCAGCTTTCCTGACTCTAGCTATAAGGGGCAAGGTTGTTTAATTTAGATTATAGCTTTCTATGAAAAACCAAAACTATCTTTGAACTACATCATTTCAGGTAAAATCTCATACAATTGAATATGTATGCAAATAAATATGTAATTAATATTTCTCTATGGAAAAACGTATACAGAAAGCCAAGCAATTTTTGTAGAGCAACAAGTACACCATGATAGACAGTTTCTAGCTTAGCCATGACATCATAGACATCTGCAGGAGGGGCAGCAGCTGTCTTTTCAAACTGCCATTATTTCCTATTCAAAGCTTTTATTTAAAAATAGCTAACCAATAACACTTCTAGAAACAAATGACAACCAAAACATGCAGTCTTTTCTTTATTCTGTTTATATTTTATAGTTCTTTAGCTACTGAATAAATATTACTAGTATTGGTATACTCATTGGAGATGGAAATTCTCAGAATTTGTTTGCTGCTATAATTAAATAAGAAATTTGGTCTTGTTGTTTTATGCAAAATCAAGACAGGAATAAACATAGAAATTTGTAGCATTTTTAATATTTGCTTGTGGATGCTTGTTTGCTGTTGGATGCTTAATGCACTGAATAAATTTCCATAGGAATTCCTGCCAAATGTTAGAGACCTCCAAACTGCAGGTAGTCATCAATTTATGACCACAGTTGGAACCAGAATTTTTGTTGCTAAGCAAGGTGGTTGCTGAGTGAGCCACACCTGATTTTACCACCCTTTTTGTCATGGTTTTTAAGTAAATCAATGCATAAGTGAATCATATGGCCACTAAGCAAATCCAGCTTCCCTCATTGACTTTGCTTGAGGAAGCTAGCTGGAAAGTTGCAAATGATGATCAGGTGATCCTGGGATGCTGCAACTCTTATAAATACATGATAGTTGTCAAGTGCACAAATTTTGAACATGTGACTGTAGAGATGCTGTGATAGTACTAAGGACCAGTCGTTACTTTTTTCAGTGCTGTTGTAACTTCAAATGGTTGCTAAATGAATGCTTATAAGTTGGGGACTACAGTAATACCTCAGTATTCAACTACTTCAAAACTCATCGAATTCGATACTCAACCTGTTTTGAAGAAAATCTCTTATCCCCGTACTTATTTTTCTACCCCTACTTGAAGTGCAAGGTAGACCTTGCTGGCATCAGCTGACTCCTTCTGGCTGAAATACAGGGTCACATGGCTTGCTCAGCACCTATTTTAGTACTTGGGAACGAATCCTGGATGAGTACCTAGGTACCACTGTACCTGTATACTGAATAACAGTAGATCCCAAGTGTTTCATACTGGAGTTTCACTAACTTTACCTGGAAAGGCCCTCAACTGCTCCTTTGCATTGCCTATATACAATACCCAGGTAGATGGACCCCTGACCCTCTTTCATATAAAGAGGCTCCCCATGTTCCTGTTATAAACACGGAAGTCATTTTCACAAAAAACATAAGAAGTTGTCAATTGTGCAGTATGAAAAAGTCACGTTGCTAAAACAAAAAAGTAAAAGCCAATAGTTTCTGAATGGAATACATACTGAACGTTCAAGCAAATTACACTGCAAGAAAAAATACGTCGGCCTAACCCTAACCCTACAGTAACAAAATGCCCGTGGAGGCCATTGACAGCATACTGGGCCCCTGAACTCCACGGCGCCCCTCAGAAAAGTCGAATCAGAAACACCCTCGGTCGGCGGGCTAGCCCGTTCCTGCGGGAGCAGCCCGGGAACCTGTATAAGTCTCGATCGATTGCAGGAGAAAGCGGCCGAAGCGCGGCCTGACGTTCTGCTACACAGGGCCCTACGAGCGCGGTCGTACGCAGGTTCCGGGGCTCGGTCTTGACGAGATGGCGGAGGAAGGAGTGCAGGCCGAAGCCGAAGCCCAAGCCCGACGAGCGGGCGAGGAAGGCGATCTGCGGCCGAGGGGCGTCGCGGAGCCGTCCTCGCGGCGCCTGGTGCTCCCCCCCTCCTGGCTGTCCCCGGCGGGCGAGTTGCCCGCGAGGCTAGGGAGCTGGTATCCGGCCCTGGAGGTCTTGGACGTGAGCGGGACGGGGTTGTCGGTGCTGGGCCCCGAGCTGCTGGACCTGGCGCATCTGCACACGCTGCTGGCGAAGAACAACCGGTTGGGGTCCCGCGGGTCGCTCCCGAAGGGCCTGGCCAACGCCCCCCTGGGCCGGTCCTTGCGGCTCCTCAACTTGAGCGGCAACCGCTTCACGCACTTCCCAGCCTCGCTCCTGGGCCTCTCCCGCCTCCAGAGCCTCAGCCTGGGGAGCAACCGGCTCCAGAACATCCCCCCCGCCATCCAGGAGCTCAGCAGGTGAGCCGGCTCGGAAGAGGGGCCAAGAGGCTCCCGGGGAAGCCGGCTGCGGGTGGCCTTCCGAACCGAAGCTTAGGCTGCATTTTGCGGGAGGTGCACCAGTGCCCTCGATAGAAAATGCGGCGGGGCTCTCTGCTGTTCCTCGAAATGTGAGCTCTGCTTCAGTCAAGGCACGCATCTTTTAGGAGGTCTCAGTGGTTTTATATACCAGGTTATTTCAAGTAGGGCATCAGCTCATTCGGTGTTTTTCTTGAGTATTGATAATCTGGGGGTGTTCTATACACAAACTCCCAGTAGTCTCTTTTAAAAAATGGATTTATTATTTGCTTCTTCAACCATGCTTTTGGCGGGAGAGAGACCTCGTTTCATCACACTTGCTATATTTATTTTTTACTGATTTTGTTGTAATTTCTTTGTTTCACTGATGTGACACAAATTTAATAAATTATTATAATTATTTAATTATTTAGAACTTTTATATTAGACTACTTGTGTAATGCTAAAATATACGCAACCAATAGTTGGCAGCAGAAAGCTTTCCCTGTCCTTTATGGCCATTTAGTAGCCATCTGGATTTTTGTAGCTTTGGTTGAATGCACTTAATACAACATACTTGAATGGCTTTAAAAAATATCAGACGGTGCAAAGATAATATTTATAAAAAAATATAACATTATTTGAATATTTTTTTTCATCCAGGCTATTCAAAATGTTTCGTATTTTTGTATTTTTTAATTCCCGCAACACTTGTTTCATAATTATACTTTTGGGCACAGAAAAATCACAATCTACTGATCTTGTATCTCTAGTGAGATCTACAAAAGAGTGTAGGGCAGACATTACAGTATGGGAGTAGGTGGTCTTTCAGGTAATTTCAACACTTTCATTCATTTTAACTTAAGTTATAGTTTAATATAAGAGCTTAAGAAATGTCCTTAGGATGAGTTTGAGAAGTGAGTTGGAGTTTTATTTTTGAATGGATTGGTTTATTATCACCTCTTAATGCTCCATGATACAGCTAGATAGATTCACGCATATACACAAAGATACAATATTAGATTGTCAGCTTTGTTTTGGTCCCTTTTTTCACAAGAAGCTTATGTTGTGGGAGAATTGTAGCTTAAAAATAAATTCATAAATCTTTTATTTGGAAATATCAATTTGGCCACCTACAAAATTGTTACCTTGAATCAATTTTTCTCCAGTGAAATGCAAAAGCTAAGTTTCTTTCTCTTTTCCATATTTTCACATTTCATTTGAAAAATACAGCCTAGTTTCAGGAAGTAATAGTTGAAAATTATTCTTTTTTAACAGACAGGGAAGAGTATTTGTGACTAATTTAAACCAATTTCATTTAGTTTAATCTATTATTGTGTTTTGTATTTTCTCTTTATCTGTATATTTAATGAATATTGTAATTTTAATTTTGTTCATATAGATTCCTTGTAATGAAAACAATGAGGGGGGTTTATCTGCAATTTATACAGTATCTATTTTTATTTTCTTTCTACTATCTGTTTTACATATTATAACACTAGGAATGTTCAGTCACAGTAAGTATTTTTCTCTGTTCTGCTGTTTTGGAAATAAAGCATATTAATTACACTGAAAAGCAAAAAATGGGAAATATCAGTGAGTAACCATAAGAAGCCTGGGACATGAACAATGGTTCTTTGGAGTATAATGGGTCTGAGTGTGCACCAATTTTCAAGAATAGTCTTTTATTCTCCAAGGGTCCTAGTCATAGAATCAGGACATACTCAAGTAAAAAATAAATCTTTGTAAAGGGGAGGACATTTCTCAGAAATGAGAGTGCAAATGTGCAATTGCAAGCCTAGCTTCCAGTTCAAATACAATTGTTCCAATTTTCATCATTTTAAATCCATATTTTGTTTTCTAGTCACTATTGCCAATATTTCAACTCAGGGACAGTTGAAATTGTTTAATCTGTTCTAATCTCTCATTGTAGTTTCCTATGTTCTTTCCTTTTCAGTATGATCAGTTTGCTTTATATATTTAAGAGGTTTCTGTAAATTTAGAAAAATAGTGCAAGATCCTCTTGAAAATAATTTTAGAATAATGCTAGAAATAATATTTGATAAGTATCTGTTTAATACTTTGCACAATTCCATTTTCTTTTAGAATCTATTCATAGCTGATTTGCAGATGCACAGTCATGTAGTATATTTTTCTCACTGTCTTATTATTTTCTGCTAGTATTCTCCATTTTGGTACGATGTGAAGGTGTTGCAGGCATTGCCTTCAAACTTCAAATATCACCTGGTAATTAATTTTGTGTATTTAGAGGCATATTATTTCTGAGTATTGTGGTTATGTGTTTAATTACTAAAGTATTGTTACTATTAATTATTAAAGAATAGTTTAATAGAGCTAAGCTTTACCACAAAGTTCACTACACTCTAATGCTGGAATTTAGAGACCTAGGTCCAAATATCTATTCATTTGTGAGTTTAACAGATGACCTTGTGCCAATTGCTTCCACCAAGTTAGTTTTTATGTGCTGACTTGAGCTTATAAGCAGACAGAATGTACTTATAAGGAACAAAAATACTGCATCACATCAAGATCAAAGTTCTCTTTTTCCCATATACTGAAGAGGCATAAAAACAATTTATTATTTATAATTTGATGTGGACCAATGTGGTTTGTGCCAGTTCTCAATTGGTAATAGATGAAGCAGCAAAGGTAATCTAAATAGGACTCAAGATAAATCCAATAAGCTTTATTAGAGGAGGAGCGCAGCAGTTGCCTCTCTAGCCTCACTCAGACTTACCAGGATTCATGTGGGCTTGGCCCAACCATGGCTTGTGTTATTTTTCTTCTTTTCCTTTTGCATTTCCTGGGGGAAAATAAAGCATACTTGCCTAATATCAGTGTTGTCAATGTATTACTGTCATTACTAGATCAGGTGTCAAATGGTGGTGCAGTGGTTAGAGTGCAGTACTGCAGGCTACTTCTGCTGACTGCCAGCAGTTCGGCAGTTCGATTCTCACTGGCTTAAGGTTGACTCAGTCTTCCATCCTTCCGAGGTCAGTAAAATGAGGCCCCAGTTAGTTGGGGGCAATATGCTGACTGTAAACTGCTTAGAGAGGGCTGTAAAGCACTATGAAGCGGTATATAAGTCTTAAGTGCTGTTGCTGTTGCTATTACTTGATCAGATGTCAAATGACTCCTCCCAAATACTTCGACGGAAATAAACAGAAGAAAATAAAGTCACCATGGCATCTCACTCAGCAAAATGGCAGGGCCTTTTATTATCTTTGAAACCTCTTCTAAAATAGGATTATGATCAATCAGAAATATCAATCCAGATGCCTGCTACCTTCCTGCAAATACAGCTTTAAGCATAGGCATCTTCAAAGGGGTGGATTGGGAAAGGAATGACAAACCATGTGTTGTAATGCAAACAATGGCTCCTGTACTTGTATCCAAATTGGAATACAAATACAGAGATTGGGTTCACTTCATGATGCATGTTTCATAACTTTTACATGTACCAGAAACCTACTGCTTTGAGGACCTTGTAATGCTGAGTATTGATTTCTTTCTGAGTGGTGTCAGCAACTGTCTGGCAGATAGAAATTCAATAGGAAACACTTACTCTCTTTGGGAGGCACACATCAGAGCTTGGAGACAGAAAGAAATTATTTTTCATCATCTATTATTATTTTCTTGATAGCATTTTTTTTAATTCAAGGAACCTATCTGGAGGAACTTAACCTGATGAACCATTTCCTCTTCCTTTGCTTTTAAGTTTATTTATTAAAGTTTCTTTAATGTAATCATTTTGTAATATATAAACGGTTGAGGTCTATTGATTTATGTTCTAAATGACATGCTGAATCAGTACTCTTATCACAAATGGATGCAAACTGTATGTATTGATTTTTGTTTCTCTTTCAGTTTAGAATTTTTATATCTTGGAGGAAATTTCATTACTTCCATTCCACCAGAGTTAGCAAACCTGTCTTCACTAAGTTACCTAGTCCTCTGTGATAATAGGATACAGAGTATTCCACCTCAGTTGGCACAGTGAGTATATCTAGCCATGTTACTCTTTTTGATGTCTGTGTCCTGAATTTAGTTGCTTATAAAACTGATAACTATTTTCTTTTGAAGCCTTTTTGTGTGAAAAGGAGAATATCTTCTATATATTAACACAATCTCACAATGCTGCATCACAGTCAGCAAATTGTACAATAATTGTACATGCTGATCTATAAACAATACTGGTAGATTGCGATTACTGTGAGCTCAAATAGTGTGATATTTGATTTAGCGAAAATTATATACTATTATATTAGATATACTATTTCATTGAATACTAAAACCAATTACAGATAGTGCTTGAGTTACAACAGCATTTGGGACCAAAACTTCCATTGGTAAGCAATACTGTTGTAATGTAAAGTATGACATCACATTATCACATGACTTAGTGATGGCAATCCCTGCAGTCTCTGTTGCCATTATTAAAGGAGGATTGTGACTTGTTAAGCAAGTACCTCCTTGCAACTTTTTGCTGGTTTCCAACAACCAGCAGGAAATTGCAAGTCTTAGGTGGCTTGTAAGCCGGCCACAGGCAGGTAAGTGGCTGCTTTCAGTGGGAGATCGGGTGCATGGATCACCATAGAGACGTAGCACAAGTGCAGTGAGGCTCAGGGAGGGTGCACATGTGATGGAGATGGACAGCTGGACTTGAAATGGCTGCTGTTGGGTAAGAAAGGTGTGTAAATTTGCCAGGTAACCATATAGCAAGAGTGCAGCAGGGCTTGAGGAGAGTGCTCAAGGGTGTGCAAGTGGCTGGGTAGATGTAGCACAAGCTCAGCAAGGCTCAGGAGGAGGTGTGAGTGGCTGGGGAGATGCAGTGCGAGTGCAGAGGGTCTGTGGGAGGTGTGTAGGTGGGAGAGACTTACCCAAGCAACTTGTGATCTTCCTTGTCAACTTCTCCAGTGGTTTTACTTTTGGGAAGCCTGCAGGGAAGTGTTGTGGCTCCATCCTGTGGGTCCCTCTCATCAGAGGAGGAAGGCTCTGAACATGACGGAGAGGAGATGGCCAGGCCTCCCTCTCCAGGACCTTCCCCTCTGGTGCAGCCTTCGGTGCCTTCCGACGGAGAGGAGATTGGCCAGGAGCCCGGTGCTTCTGGGATTGGCCAGGAGCCCGGTGCTTCTGGGATTGGCCAGGAGCCAGGTGCTTCTGGGATCGGCCAGGAGCCAGGTGTATCGGACTCCGAGGAGGATACGTCTTGGCTGGATCCACGCCAGCGTCGGAGGGACAAGCGTGCGCAGCAG